GAAATTAGGATATTTGTTTTTGGATATCTATAAAAAAATTTATTTTGAAGGTTATAGCCTTGCTCGGTTGACCTGAAATCGCATTAAAAACTTGAGATATAGTTACATATGTTTTGGCTTAGTTTTACCTGTAATTTCAAGGCTGGTTAGTCACTTATCTTGAGATAAAAGGATTGTGGTTCATAGACTGACAAAAAATAGAGGAAACTTAGCTTGACCCTTTAATCCTAGTTGGCTATCTTACCAGTGTATGCGAATAGAAGTTGGGTTTCGAGGACTCTCTTGTTGAGCTTACTTCCATTTAGAGTGAAAGTACTTGATGAAAAGATTCAAAATTAGATCCCACCAGAAGACGGTGGCGGATTCTTTTTTACCAGCTGTCGATTGGCCTTACTCGTACATTCTTGTTGTCGATATTTCTATGGCGATCTCGATTCCGGTTAAAACGTGTTAAGCTTTCGTCCGACATAAACATTATATTACTAGTGCTTATGATTTAAAAGGCCACTGCTGACTAGTTCTGTTTCCGCTTCGGTGAATTTTTCTGCTAGATTAAGAGAAAATATTAGTATCTTAGTATATTGCACATTTTTTCCTTGATTCCTAGCTTATACTTATGCTTTTCAGAAGAAATTCCATTGTGGGGTTTTATATTAGGTAAAGGAATCCTATTTTGTGTTGGGCTGCCCAATTTTAGCCTTTTAGTTCGCAGCACGAAGCGATCGAAAAATAGTGCAACAAATGAAGTCGCCCAACTGATGATGCAATGTGAGCATACATAAACTAATTGCATGAACTGGAAGTAGCTCCGTCGTGCCTCATTGCACTAAAAATATTCAATTATCGACAAAATGCAGTTACTCATATCGTTTGGGACATAAGGTCGTTTCGAGAGATAATGAAAAAAAGCATGTGAATTCAGGCCTCAGGTTTTAATATATCAATTTCCTAAGATAGTGCATACAAGGGGAGAAAAATACGCTTATGTGGCGTATGTAGTGAAAGTAAAATAAACAAATAGTGATAGGAGCCAGTCGAGTTGAATCCAGTATAAAATATTCCTAGTTTCTTCGAAAGTTTCGTAAGGTTTCTTCAAATATGTGGAGAAAATATGATGGCACATAGGAGGTCTTATTTTTCCTAATAAGAGATAAGCTTTTACCGTATGCTTGGCATTCTCTGCATTATCCTTAAGAAGCCAGACAAAGATATTTATAGTGAGATTATTTAGCCTGAGAACTAGAACAGAATAGGCGACAAAATATAAGGCTTGGGGCGCCAAAAGCGCCACTTGAAGTTAGGTATGACATTGGGCGCTTAATATTCCCACTAGTCGGAATATTCTGCTAGTACTGTCTCCTTCTTGCAGTTGGCACTGACGTCTCATCCATGTTGCCGATTTGCAGGGAGCCGCTGCGTAGAGGTGGCAATGAGTAACGGTTCGTTTCCAGTGACATGCCTGATGCAAATACCATTACCCCAGCTGGACTGGTTGGAAAAGCTTGAGGAAGGTGTTGACTAACAATGAAGTGGTGAAGGGTTTGGTTCTGAGTCACTTGCCGTGCTCCATTTGCTTTCAGATGTCGAATAGGGCGACGTAACTGAGAAAACATTGGCTGTTTGACCCTGGACACTGACTTTGTAGCCGTATTTACAGACGCGGTGATAGCGTTAGCCATGGCCATAGCGTTATCTTCGT